TACTTTCCACATCGACGTCTGCGTCGACGTCCCGAACCGACGGAATTGCAAGACGACTGGCGTCGACGTAAGCTAGTCCCAACGTCGACTAGGCCCGGCCGACCGGCACTCCAGCCTCCCTCAGCCGTCTCGAGCCATCACAAGCCCTTGGATGAGTTGGTCTGGCCGACCGAGTGGAAGGATCTGGCGACCGAGTTGATCTCGGGCCAGCGTCGTACTGGACGAGTGTTAGTCACTTTCATTTTCAGCCTCACCATCGCCTCCTACGGACTCTACATTGTGGACGCGAATCGAGTGAAGGCGGACCCTTTGACGGGCGGCATGGAGTTGTGCATCGCATTTCGCGACAGTTTTGTACAACAGGTCGATCTTGTCTTTAACCTCTTCTTTATCGGCCACTTCGTTCTGCGTCTTATCGCTTCGTCCGACAAACTTTGGTATTGGTTTGACATCTTCACTCTTGTCGATCTATTCACCATTCCGCCGGCTTTCGTTGGCCTCTACTTTCGACGCGTTTGGATCGGCCTGCGATTCACTCGCATTCTTCGCCTCCTCACGCTGGCCGATGTACTGCAATACCTCAACATCCTCAAGACCGGAAACACCATTCGTCTTTGCCAATTGGTCACGATGTTCGCCAGCCTCGTGCTCACCGCTGCTGGATTCATTCATTTGGTGGAGAATTCTGGCGATCCGCCCGAATTCAAAAACGCCAACGCAATCACCTACTTTGAGTGCACCTACATGATGATTGTCACCATCACGACTGTTGGTTTCGGTGACCTGACGGCTCAGACGACTTCTGGTCGCGTCTTCATGATACTCTTTCTGCTGAGCGGACTGGCTGTGTTCGCCAATTCGGTACCAGAAATAGCGGATATTGTGGGCTCACGCAACAAGTACGGCGGAGTCTACAGAAAGACGACTGGAAAATCGCATCTTGTGCTCTGTGGTCACATCACTTTCAGCACAGTGAACAACTTTCTAAGTGATTTCCTCCACGAGGATCGTGAAGATGTGGACACTCAAATTGTCATCCTGCACAAATCGGTGCCGGATTTGGAGTTGGAAGGCACCCTTAAACGACACGGTACACAAGTCTTCTACTTCCAGGCAAGCAAACATTTGCTCTTTTTGAAGTTATGAAGACCAAGAGGTTGTGACCTCTGGTGTGGTCGCAGTCTCCTTTCGATTTATAGAAGTGGGTTGACCTCGTTGTCGCAACTTGGCCTTGTTGTCAGG